GGTATTTTATTGCTTTCATGTGATCTGAATTCTGTTTTAATGTCATTAGCTCGATTTATGAGTGGTTAGACCAAAGAAAAACCAGAATTTGGAATGGTTAGTTAACCGGTTGACGAGGTCATTTATGCTAGAGGGGAATCAAAGCAATGACCAAGAAATGCCTGGGAAAGTAGTTTTGATTGGATCTCTTTGTTCAATTTACAATTTACTGAAGTCAGAAGAATAGTGGCAGCTGTTTTGATAGTTATCATTAACCCTTTAGCTGACTTCGGGCTTCAAAGAGGAGAGGAGGAGCATCAAAGTGACAAAAAGCCTAGATGGGAAGTAGAAAAGTGATTCAAGGATATAAAAGAGACAGACAGACACACAGGCAAAGAAAAGGTAAGATGAGTACTGGAGAAGTGGTGGAATATGACATACATAACATAATTTACCTGTAAGGAATATAAAATATTTATTTATTTCTTTATATCAAATGGCAGGCGTTTTGATGGTTATCATTAGCCCTTTAGTTGACTTCGGATTTCAAAGAGGTGAAGGAACATCAGAGTAACAGAAAGTCGAGAGGGGGTGGGGAACAGAAGAGTGTTTCAAAGATGTAAAAGAGACAGTCACAAAGGTAAAAAAAGGTGAGGTGGGTACTGTGGAAGTGGTGGAATATGACATACAGTGGGGTGATGGTAGTTAAAAGTCAGAAGTCAACAGCCGGTTTTAGACTATTTTGCCGTATGAGTATACGTTGCCCAGGGTGCACCACGTGCAGGCAAGTCTATCGCGCACCTCACATTCAGAAACTACACGTTTGCAAATTACAGTCATAAATGTACCCCCCCCCCAAATATTCAATTTTTATAATTTTAATGATAGAAAGGTTATTTCAAGTATTGATACTCTACTTAGATCTAGATCAATGATTTAGATGCAAATTCTATCGACCCGACGTAGGACCTCCCTTTAAAGCCATTTCCTTAAAAAATATTTTCATGTCAATTTGTAGCTTCCAATTTACACATCCCCACAAGAATGACGATTTAAAAGAGATAAGCTTTGGCAATTTTGAAGCCACTTCAATTGACATGCACTCTTTTTGTACATTCTTCTCCTTCAGTATAAGATATAATTAAATAGGAAAAGTTTAAGAAGGGAATTAATTTGATTAATTTGTTTCATTAATGGGTAAATCAGTGAAATGTTTTTTTGAAAATTAATTAATTATTTACAGGATTAGAAACGATGGGGGATTATTGAGTCGCATCATGACAGAACGATGAATTCTTTTTTCACCTCTCATTTTCGTTATTTTGCATAATTGAAATTATAAAATAAATAAATCTTCAACTTCTAGATATTAGAGTGAAAATTAAAGACTCAAATTCTAGCTGAAATAAAATTGCTATTTTTATTGGCGTAAATAAGAGAATACCACTTCAAATTCTATTTTTTTTGTCTCCGGTAATCTTTTAAATTAAAGTGGTAATCTCTGCGTTATTTAGGATGGGTTTTAACTTTTTTCATGCAACCACTATACGCATTTTTAACTTCTGCTCCTGAAAATCCCCCCCATTTTTTCTAACTAATTGATTGTGGAATTTTATTTATCACGATAAAAAAAAAACAGAAATCATCCGGATGTGGATATGTAAAATTTTGGCAGCAAATAAACGCAATAATTTAATATACATGAATTTCTTTTCACACAGCTTCAATCATCTTCAAATTATATTAATGCAAGAATATTTGTGACCATGAAAACCTTTTTGTGTTTTCCTCGAAGTGTTATTTCATTATTTGACCTCAAATATTCGAACATGCTTCTTTTGCGAGAAGTACTTTTCAAATGCCTCGTTTTCCTAATGTCTGGTATTTTATTTTTACTCGTCAAAAATGCACCTTTTGGAGTCTCAAAGATAAAATCAATTTATTTATATCAAATGGCAGGCGTCTTGATGGATATCATTAACCCTTTATTTGACTTCAGACTTCACAGAAGGGAAGGAACATCAAATTGAAAAAGTCGACAGGGGGGGGGGGAACAGAAGAGTGTTTCAAAGATGTAAGAGACAAACACAAAGGTAGAATAAAGGTGAGGTGAGTACTGTGGAAATAGTCGAATATTGCATAGAGTGAGGTGATGGTAGTTTAATGTGAGAAGTGAGCTGCCAGTTAATAGACTTTTTTGCCATATGAATATACATTGCCCAGGGAGCACCACGTGGAGGTAAGTCTATCGCACACCCCACTTCACAAATATCAAAAGAGAAAGAACCAAATCGTACTTTAGACGCTTCGCAAAATCAAATGCCATTATTAGTCAGACGTGTAAAAACACCGATTTGGCATTTTCTGTGAAGAAATCGCAAGAACACTGTTTATACTTTCAAATTATCTGCGAAGGGAATAGGACTCCAAGATACAAAATCTCAGTTCCCTGATCAATTACAGACAAACCTTTCCACATTGCCAGTACGAACGGATCTATCAATCCAGTTATTAATTGGCGTTAAATGTGTATTGCTGCCTTATCGATCAAGCAAATTTACAGGAATTTCGCGAACGAATTTAAACCCCTCGGCGCATACAAATACATTTCAAGCCATAGGTGTATTTGGATAGAGGGAAGAGATTGCCAATCCACGAACCAAGCTGTGCAATGAGTCTTGAAACAGTAGCAGGAATGCACATTGACCGTTGGTATCACCAGCCCACATACAGTGTTGTACTATTTCTTTTTAGCGAATGTGGCAGCACCGCTGTTATTTAAAGAAAGCGAAATAATCATAACTACCAATTTTCCAAGCGTGGCTTGCATATGCGAGGCTGATGATTTATGCCTCCACACGATTATGGCTACGCTAACTTCCGAGATTTTGTCTGGGAGCGAATTTCATGGTTTGCAAGACATTTAGAAATCGTAATGCCTACAAAAGGTAATTGAGAAAATGTCGTGCCAACAGGTAAGCTTTTATTATTACTATTAGAAGAGGCCTTAATCCCAGGAGTAAGATTTTGAAAAGACTTAGTAACTTATCTATGAACGCCACTTTCAGAAAAAATTTGAGAAGCGCCAAGATAGGTGATAGGTAATGAAAACACACACTTAATCGACTTACCTATAAGTAAGGGTGCGGATCTTATCCTCTAGCATTAGAGCATGGACATCGGTAAAGGAATACGATCTAGATTAAAAATAAAGAATTAATTCCTTGGTTATTAATTTGTGGGTGGGCAGAATGACGCCACATCAGATGTCTAGGCATTTATAATAAAAATTTAATTACTTAAAATGTTATTTTAGTTCAGAAGCTAATTTAAAAATTCCAATCCCAGCCCGCTCCACTTTCAACCACTAGTTCATAAAATGAAGAGAGATTTTAAAGCTCTCGGCCATTCAAAAATAATAAAATGGAGTGTCAGGGTTGATTAAGCCAATTAATCAAGCAGTCAGTAAATACTGGGCACTGAGGCCACTGTTTCAGTCAGGAAACCAGGGTACAAACTATGATACTGAACTTCTGGAGCAAGAGGGTGGATTGAGTAGCGCAAAAAACCTAAAATCAATGATCAGATGAAACAAGTCACTTTCGATACTCGGACTATACTCCCCGACTCGAACTCCGCTTTGTGCCCAAGGCATCAGGATGAAAATTTACATATCGAACATGGCCTAAATTCATTGGCATCTTAACTTCCCCGAATGTATAATTTTGGCTAAAAGTAACCCCTTAGGTCTTAGTGAATGTGATTGTTGTCTCTTTAAAACGCCTCTTTTTCCCTTTGTATTTCCTCCACGCACATACACACACACACAAATGACTCCGTGAATGTCTTTGGAATCTCATTGATGCAAAAAAGATAGTTCAAATAAAATAAAGAAGGGTAGAAATATTCCGATATATTAACAAACGTTTACACCAGCATCGACAATACATTAGTATGGAGGAAAGCTAATAATAACATGTTTGGGAAATTCGACCCCATAAAACGTATTAAGTACACTCAACCCAAATCGTTTCGTGGTCTAGTAAAGAATACTCTGTATAACTCCGAATTGAAAACGGATTTACTGAATAGGGGGACCACATTCAAAACGGGGGGGGAGTTGCCAACAGGAAAAAAAGGAAATATAAAATCATTAGCATTACCCCCCCCCCCCCCCCCCCAGCAACTGCATGAAGTTAAAGATAAATCTCAAAAACTCATCACCTACTTGAAGTAAGCATCATCCTGAGAATTGTCACCTGTTTTCATAAGCTACAATGCAAGGAAAAATGGTATATTTCGTTTTAATGTAAACAGAATTTTATTCTTTCAAGTTCTTGCTCACTTTGGTGGACGGTTTAGCAGCAATGTCCCCTTCTCCATCACCATCTTCCATCGATTTTGACCTTTTACCCCTGAGCGCCTAACAGAGAGTATAAAAAAATAATACAAAGAGGACATAAATGTGGGGTTAATGTCACAAGTATTAAGAGCTACAATGTCTTAAAATTCACCACAAAGTACAAAGCAAAACATAAAAAAGAAGTAGGAGCACAGATAGGACACTGCAGAAACGCATCTAGATCATTAATTTATTCTACACATAAAAAATAGAGAAAAATTAAGTTCATCATAAAGGAAGATATTTTGAAAGCATAAAGTCAGAAATAAAGAAAGAACGAAAGAAAGGATTTGTTAATTCTAATCTAGAAAAATCGGTAAGATGTGGGAAAAGAGGTGCTTAAATGCTACTATCTTCCTCAACTCATTTCCTTCTGCTGCTAATAGATGCTGCTTCTTTGGCTTCAAGCAGCGTAACAGGTCGTCGAATAATCTCTGAAATCGCTCTAAACCACTCATTTTGTTCATTCTCTGAGGCTGCACAGAAGACAAAACTGCGATCAGGAGTGTTGAGGGTAATTGGGAAGTTTGTGGGTACCTTCTTCCAGGAATCGGGAGACTTCAACTCCACTGAATAACCGTCCTCTGAGAAGCCAATAAAGATTTCCCTTTTTGCGAAAGCAGCCTGAGGAGTTGAGGTGTAGGAGAGCCAGCGTTTGGCTAACATAAACCAACGTCGACGAAAAGTATAGCTGAAATCTGGCCCGCCTTTTAATAACCATCCAACTTTTTGTAGGTCGTAAGTTAGATATGAAACAATCTCCCCGTTTGATATGTCTTGCCCTGACCCAGAAACATGTAATCGAAGACGCTGGTACTTGCATAATCGCAGAGTGTTGTACCAATTAAGAATCTCCCGGCCATCCTCAGTTCTAACAAAGATGTGTCGAGTAGAGTTGCCTTGAACAAACTGTATCAAGGCCGTATGGGGAGGGACTTCAAAAGCTTGTGAGTCCACAAAGGTCATATTACACCGCTCCACATCAATGCATTCCTTTGGCTCAGAGTTCGTCAACTTGACAAAGTATTTCAAGGTGTTGGTGGTTGAATTGATTTCAAAAAGACGGGGGACAAAATTTGGGGAATCACGAAGCTTTTTCAATAGCTGACCACTTTTATTGCTGTTTGTGAAAGCAACTTGAAGCCCCTGGGAAAGTGCTCCTTTTCTAAAAGCTCGGGCGATATACTTGTAGTGAACAAAGACTTCACGAAGGAATGATGGGCAGGAAGGACCAGGCCAAGGACGCCGGTAAAAGACAGGTAGTTCGGCTTCAAGTTCCTCATTCACCTGATGATTTCCCTTGCCTGTAATGAGGAGGGTTTTAAGTTCTGCTTCTGTAGAAGACTGAAGAGATGCCAGGGATCGCCATCCACCATTTAGTTTTACATGAGCCTCTTATCAGAGAACAAAGAGAATTAGGGTAAAAGTAAATAATGTCAAAGCTTACTTTCTTTTAGAAAAGTCAGTACCTGTGCATTCTTTGCAAATGAATACCGAGTAGTCTGTAGAAAGACCGAGAACGCAAGACGACATGCAGTCGGCGCAGATACTATTACCATCATTCTTAAGCATCCTATCAATCGGCATTTCTAAAATATGATAGACATTAAAATTATTCAAAAAATTACAAAATTTAACCAAAGAGAACATAAACGTGGAAAGAGTGAGGAAAGGGAAGATTAAAGCCAGTAGCAATGAGTGATGTTAATAAGATGAACCGAAATAAAAGAGAACGACAAACCTATCTTGTCTCCCATTGCTTTAAGCATCTTCACGACTTGAAAAGAATGAACAAATTATAAAAATGATTGAATTAAAGTTGACAAAACGTGGTATTTCATAGAGAGAACTGCAAAACCGCAAAGCCAGCTATTATGAACCGTATAGTTAATTATTTTATATTGGTTAATGCACAAGTATTGATAACAACTATAAATTTTGAATAATGTAATAAAACAACCTTTTATCCATAATACATTTTCTTATGGTTTCGGATCTTTTATGTCAGAAACACAAAATTATACACTTTTAAAAGTAATACATCAATTCCATAAAAATACTTGTGAATTACTTCAGATATGCACGACTTCCTTGAACCGAACTCCGTAATAAGCTTATATTTCCCACGAGAATATTAGCTACACTATTCCAAATGACAAGGTCATTACTCGAACCAATGACATAAAAATAATATTAGATATTTGTTGCAAACTACAAAGTAATAATTACATATCTTCTAGAGAAGAATGATTATTTTTTATTTTTTCACTGATTTATGAAGAAATACAGGAAATTTTTACTGTGTAATTGGGTTACCAATGCTCAATCTTGAATTTTACAGGCAGCCGTTAGAGATCATTCAGTGTTCTGCAACAGAGAAGGAAATAATTTTGCGATGTGTTTTCTTAGTATTCAAATTGTTTAAAGCTGTTTATGGTCAGTAAATGAGATATTATCATTAAGGTTAATATGTCCAACTCAGAAGAACGCATCATTCACTTCATTCTGATTTACTTATAGTGGAAAATGAAGATGTGCGAGTATCCCTGTGAAACCCTTACCGAAATTTATGTTTGTATGCTTAAGTTATTAAAAGCCCAGAATGATCCGCAAATTTTGAAGTTTATGAATTTAAATAATTTCTTTAGTCAGATCATTGCTTCATTATGGAAGAACTAGGATATAAACTTAGGTGCCACCTCATACACTCAGACAAGGATAATACGAAAAAGTTGAATATCTTTGTTGTTACGGTTAATTCAAAATTTGTGGGTCGCTTAAGCCAAAGATAGTCTGAGAAAACATTGGCTATCTTCAAATAAAGCATCTATTGCTTTTCTAATTCGGAACCGACCTTTCTGAAATTCCTTTCATGCATTTGGTTTGATTTATGCATAATAGTCCACTATGGGTAGCTAAAATGGGGCGAAGTAGTTACGACAAAAGTTTTTTTGCCAAAAATATTAAAAATAAGCTAGGAATCGGAAGACAAATGTTCAAGTTTATGTAATAGGCAAAACTTATTTCATCGGCATGACAATGACCGATTGGCATCACAAAGCATGAATAACCACATAAAAACACACGAATTAAGTAACAGAATTACCCACTTGCTTCAAATCTCACAGGCATCTTTTCAGACCCATACAGAGAAAAACGAGTAGCAAATGGAATTGAAAATAAAAATTAATTGAATGGGTACCTCAATTTAAACCAGCGATTGTTTTCCGAATTAGGCTGGATGATTTACAAGAGCAATGCTAAGGTTTACACTTAAAAGCAGAAGTCACGTTATATAATGCCATATGCATAAAGTAAAACTGATTTACTTGTTTTTAGAATTTGTGGTTTTCTATGAATACACATAATATAAAATTCAAGTTTTGATTTAAATCCATTTAATCTCTTCGTCAAAACGACTTTTGTATCTGTTAGTTTTCAATAAGAAAGGTTTATAAGATAATTTGGCATGTGACGATGTGGTAAGGGTCAGCTATTGGTTTTTATTGTGAATGCTACAACAAAATCTTACTACCCAAATCAGGTTTCAGAAAAGAGCAAAGAAAGAGTAGAGTAACCATTAATAGACATTTGCATATCTCTTTTAAGGTAATTCAAAAGAATGAAAAGTTACTTCAGCAAAATGAAAATAACCCACAACCGGAACGAGAAAAATACATATCAGGACGATAAATTGTCAAAGTAATTATTATTCAGTTTTTTCGAAAACACTGTTAGTATCGAAGTTCGCGAAAGTAACCACAGATAATTTAAAATGGTTTTCGGTTACAATTTTCACTATATGGAAGACCTTAATAATAGGAAAGCGAAAATTGTATGCTTGATAAAGGTTAAAATTGTACTTTTGAGATATAAGCAGTCGTGTTTCATAATGCATTCGATAAGATCGTGTTATAGTATAATAAAACCGAATATAAATGTTCCCCGAATGCAGATGTTAGTTGCAAGAAATACTAGGGCAATTTTATAACAACTGTATCAATCTTTAATTGACAGATTGGGATAAAATATAGTTCACTTCAATGTATTCAATGTTTAGTATTGAATGGGAATCCATTACATATTCAAAGGATTAGTATGCTTTCCATACTCGCTAGTAAACTAGTAAAGGCTATAAATGTTTGTCATGAAATAAATAATGTCATTTGTCAGCAGGTTCCGTTAAATTAAGCGATAAAATATTGAGAAATTTATTGGACATACAAATCTAATAAGAGCCTTAAGATTCCATTTTAAAAAATTTATGATTTGAAATATATATCTTTATACTGTTGTGTTTTACTTTTGCAAAAGGAACAATTAAATATATTTAATCCATTTAAACATACGATTAGGCACCCTATTAAAATTCAACATTTAAAAATATAATGTTATATTAATTTAGTGTGAATTAAATTTGAAGAAATAAAATTGATATTACCTGTGGCTGCATCTAATTGGCTATTAACTAATTTGGTAATCCGAAATTCTTAAATTCCTGAAACGCTTTATGCGCTACTGAAAGCCCGCGCGCGTCTTTTAAGTTTCTATTATTACGTGTTTTGTAAAAAGGCAATCTAAGCAGAAAAATAAGCCCTTTCTGACTAAAAATATCTTTTTACGAATTTCAATATTTTCTGTATAGTGGTGCAAAGGTTTGGTGATCTTCACTGATCCCGAATTTACTTTCTCTTGCCATCCACAATTTGATTGATATCAGCTGTTGATACGTGATTTTTTAAGGAAAGTGTAGGCATTTAATTTAATAGATTCATTAACATGGCGAATCCTTGGGTGGCATTCTGTAAAGCTTTCGAGACTAGTCCGATCCAGTCAGGTTAGTCATCCTTTGCAATTTATTTCTTTCTTAGTTTCGACGCATCATTGCTTCAATTCTGTGAAAATTAACGGTACTAATTACAAATGGATGAAACTAAAATTATTTTAGGCTTAAGTTCTGTGAAACAAGCATTTATTCCAAATGTAAATTTAGTGTCTTGCAGTACCTGTGGCGTACTTTTCACACGCGATAAGGCTCACTGCCATTATGGTACGTTCTTTAAAATTTATAACTTCTTCTTTAGATATTTCTCCAAATTGTCGACAAAAGGAAGGCTTGAAAATTCATACTTTGCCTTATCATGCGCTTGTGATGGATCATCGTCTATCCGATGAATTACAACAGTCAAAGCGCTCTCTTAAGAGATCAAAATCAGAAGCAGTGCGTCAAAAGAGGCCTGCTAAGACTTCTTCTCACCCTCAGTTTGAAAATAATTCAGCTACAATCAATTCAAATCACTCCCGAAAACGCCCATCCTCCAAATCTAAAATCACATGTCCCCCTGGCCTAGTGACAGCGTCTTTCGATAGGGATAAATTTTCCTCTTCATCTAGCTATGACCGACTTCCTTGTGGAGAAGTTAATAGTCCAGGTTCTGGGACAGAGTCAAGTTGCTCAGCTCCCTCAAAGTTGGTCGAAAATGCATCTAGTGTTCTTCCAGAGAGAAATTTGTTCGAAAATCTGGAAAAGGATTTCGCCCCTTCTGCCTCCAAAATACGACGTGTTGGTAATTACAATCCCTCACAAAATCGCCCCATGAGCTCCCTCTTAAATGATCATCCGCAATTCTATCCGTCTAGTCCAGCATCTCCCAATATTGATCAGAAGGAGGCCACATATGTCCCGCCTAATGTACATTCCAGTCGTAAACAAGTTTCAATCAAAACTGACAATCAAGATGATCACCCAGCAGACTGTGTGAGTTCAAGGCAACCACCACAACAACAAACTCCAAATGATTCCCAATACCATGGAAAAATGCGATCACAGTTTGATTCCTTCCCTCCAACGTCTTTCAACAACAAGCAACGCAATCACCATCTTCATCGATTACCTCAACGTTGCCAAAATTCTCCGGAAACGAATTCAGTAGAAACGGTTGATCTAGTGTCCGATGATGGCAGTCATGAGTCAGATTATGAGATTTCGAACTTCTATATTCCCACAGACAAGTCTATCTCATATCATAGTGCTCAAGCTAATCAGTATTCGCTGGGTCGACAACAGACTTTAAGATCTACTTCTATTTTGAGAAATGGGTTCAAGAGCGCACAAGATTGCACCCATCTATCAAAAATTGACAATACCTGGGACCCCCCAAATTTAACTTCCAGTTCAGATTTTTGGAATTCTAGAAATTATATTTCTGGACGGGAAAGTGGCGGTTACTATGATAATTTTGAATCTATGAGGTCTAGCCAGGCAGACAAGAGGGGTAGTTATGCGATGCACAATCAATCTTTACGCAATTCTTCCATATTGGAACAAACATCAAAGAGTATGGTGCTTGGCCAATCGCAGCGACAAAATGGTAATGTGTGCTATTTTCCATCTCTTGACCCTTCATCCTATTTAGATATTGAAATCAACTTGCTCAAACAGTGCGGTTGTGTTGAAATGGGCGATATACGATGCAAGAACAATATATTCTGTCAGGTTAGTGTTAGTATACTACTCTTGCCTTATTATCACGTGAGTTTATATTAGATTTTTTCTGAGCATTTCCTTTAAGGACATTTTGGAGTATTTAGGTCTGGTATTTTTCCAATCGTGGAATTTTTCAAATTTTGAGTGTTTATGTGAGGAGACTGTTAAACTACCAGTGAAAGGAGTTTATATTGTATTATTATTATTTCCGTAGCAAAACAAAAATCCTAGAACCTTTGTTCGCGAAAAATATCTAGCTTCGATATAGTTCAAAGAAGTTCATTTGAGCATGAATAGAAACAGAGATCGATGTTTTCTTCTGAGAGTTGCATAATTTCGATGTCTATTGACGCATGTCCTCTAAAACAATTATTTATTTATATCGAATAGCAGGCGTTTTGATGGTTATCATTAGCCCTTTAGTTGACTTCAGGCTTCACAGAGGGGAAGGAACATCAAAGTGAAAAAATTCGAGAAGGGGGGGGGGACAGAAGAGTGTTTCCAAGAAAAAGGTGAGGTGAGTACTGTGGAAGTAGTCGAATATGGAGACACAAAGGTAGAGTGAAAAAGATGAGGTGAGTACTGTGGAAGTAGTCGAATATGGACCAGTGCAGTGGGGTGATGATAGTTTGAAGTCAGAAGTCAACTGTGTGGAGTGATGGCTGTTTGATGTCAGAAGTCAACTGCCGGTTTATAGACTTTTTTTGCCGTATATGAGTATACGTTTGCCCTGGGTGCATCACGTGGAGGTAAGTCTATCACACCCCCCCCCTCCCTCTGAAACGATTAAATCTACGTACTTCGAGTCTCTCAACCCAATCTGTTTGTTTGAAAGCGTCTTTCTAAATAGAGATAGAGGGTTCTTTGTTAATCATCTGCATTGACCTACACCCTTTGATGAATTCGATCATTTAAAATTGCACTTTTGTGCTTTGCATATTCACCATTTAAGAACATTTCAACTATTTCACTTATTCAGTATGCAGTTTTGTGGAATTAGAATGGGTCATTTAAACACCTTGGCGTCTTTCAACGAGCAGTTCTACATTTTTTCTCACGTTTTAACCTGATTCATTGCACTAGCTGTCATGTAAACTAGGAATAATTCGTGAAGTGCATGAATAGAAGTGGGTGTAAACTTGAAAGAAGCTTCCTCTATAACCCCATTGTAATTTCGGCTTTTTTTTTATTTAAACTTCAATCAAACGTGTAACGAATTGTAGAGTATTCTAAGCGATGAAAGCTTGAAGAAAATCCGACTTTTCATTGTTGGGCTCGTTGTTTGCATTTTATAATCCCCTCTCCACATGGCTGTATTTTATGCAGCTGGCTGCCCTAATTCTCCTATTTACTGTTATTTGCAACTGCTCATTTTAACCAAATGGGGGTCAATATCCGACCTAATTGAAGTTTAACCCTAATCTTTTAACGCCCGAATAATTTTTTTTGAAAAATGCACTCACACGTGCCTCACATCAGACTGATGCCGCCTATGTGATGAGTTTTGGTGGCATCAGGTGAAGGCTATAGACGTTTTGAATGTTTCAAACGGCAATGGCGCCTTCTATTACAAGTCTAGTACTAGTGGAACTCTGAAAGAGGGGGCCGTACGGTCTGTGGGTTGCTAAAGAGTTAAAGGAATTATTTACGAAATCCATTGTTTATTCTTAATTAGCTTTCGAATACTTGGCTTAGGTAATAAAAATTGTTTCAGTATTCTATTATAATTGTTTAGACGGAAATGATTTTCACGAAAAAATGGCTCTATTTAGTGAACCACTTCATGTGCGTGAACTCACTGTTTTACCCTAAATAGAATGATTTGCTCTCACTATTAGTACAAATTCCATGATCGATCATCTTCCTGGGCAGTTGGAATATTTCTTACCATATTAAGCGCTTTTTTATAATATTTTGTTAGATTTCTTTAACCGAAAACTTGATTTCTGTTCCGGCTCTTTTTGTATTGCTGAACGTACTTTCTCCAAGGTTTTTGTCTCACATGCTCTGCTGTTGTGGGTGGTTCCTACACGCAGAAATAGCTACCTTTATTTTAAGTGTATTTTTCTTGCATTACCCGAATTTAATATTATTGCGTACTGGTATGATCGATTAAAATGCCATTTTGGTTTTTTTCAATGACTTATCAGTGCATTTAATTAATGCTGCTAGTCATTCTGATCGCGTAAATTCACCATTTTTTAGGGTGAAGTTTAGTTGGCATTTGGAAGGCTTAAAATTAGGATATTCTACTTATTTACATTTAGCCAAAATAAGTTTATAGTGTGTTGACCTTAACTCTGAGTACCGAACGAGTCGAAATTCCGGATTTCACAGTTTGAATCTTCTCACCCTTTCTCTTTTTCAGCTGCGCATCCTTTTTTTTCTTGACGCTTGGTTATTTGCTTGTAGATTGTCCAGTCTGGGGGAGTTGAGTCTTAATTTAAATCCTTTCTTGTTCAACCAAACTTCAATTGTTACGTCATTTAGGTATTTTTTGGTATTTTGGTTATCTGCCTGATAGCTGTTAAAAGTAAAAACACGAATATCAGACTATACCGATTTCCAAAGTAAGATGGCCTTTCATCTCATGGTATGCTTACTGGGTGCGTTATTTGCTTGAATGTGCGGTTTCCTTGAGAAAAAAACAAGCGTGTCGGTTTAGTTGAATAGCTTCTAGTTGGGTGTCAGACTAGAATAGCATTGTTGTTATTGTTCCGATAAAGGAATGTTCACAAAATTCCAATGCCAGATTTGCATGTTCTACAATTTAAACATTAACCTGCCTTTTAAATACTTTTGATTTAAAATAACATCCTATTGACACTTAAAGACAACTGCTATTGTTTAATTCAACTCTTAATTAAAATTTTCAGGACTAGGGTCCAGTGAATCTGTCTTGGGAAGTCGAATACATTTCTCATGGGATTTGTATGCTTAAATTAACAAGTTTTTTAAAGTGATATTAACTTGTTTTTCTTTCGAGTGTTATCAGTCAAAAGAAAATTCGATTATTAAGTAGGTACCTTTCGCTCCATTCAATCCATTTCTAAAGTGTCATCTGGAGTAACTTTTAATTTCTCTCATTAAGGTGTAAAATAATCGGGAATTAATTTAAATATTATTATTATTATTATATCAAATGGCAGGCGTTGTGAAAGTTATCATTAGCCCTTTAGCTGACTTCAGGCTTTATAGAGGAGAAGGGACATCAAAATGAAACAAGTCGAGAGGGGGGAGGAGGAACAGAAGAGAGTTTCAAAGATGTAAAAGAGACGGGGGGGAACAGAAGAGAGTTTCAAAGATGTAAAAGAGACATTAGTTTATTTGATTTAAGATAGCCCGTAAACTCTCTAGATAGACCCAAATTGATTCAGGTTCCTCCTTACTTCGTGGGTTAAGTTTGGTTCATCTTGTGTTCGATCTCATTTTCTTTGAATTACGTCGTTTTCAACGAAGGCCATAATTATTTTATCTTCAATTTGATTAGAAAATCTCTCGTCGTTTCTTGTAAAATTAATTTAATTCAATTAACTGCACAATTCTCTAGCTATAATAGCAAAACAAGTCCTTTAAAGTGATCGATTGGTCTTTCTACTTAAGTTCAAAAATATGACTTACACAAGGGGTGTACAGCTTTCAGTGTTAAATTTAATGCTAAAAGAGAAGTTGAATATTAAATTACGAGATTATGTTCCCAAAATCCAAGTTACACGGCTGACGTCGATTTGTCCACAAGGCCTCCATTGGTTTGTCAATCAATTGACAAGAAGTGTTAAGACGCATGAATTAAAATCACAGAAACAGGACGTTTTATTTTAATATACACATCCATCTTTTTCTCAAACTGGTTTGGATTCGCTTATTATTGAAATATGACATCTTCCCTAAATTTACGAAGTTTTAGAGGTCGATTGGTTGTGATTTTCTTATCGTTGAATTGATGTAAGCCAATGTTTACAGTTTGTTGAAACAAAATTTTCGTTATATCTGACTTCAAGATCGCCCCCGTTCCTCTATAGTTAAATTAACTGTTATCTATACTCATTATAAGTTCTCATGCAAATTGGAGTATCTTGCACGCGCCAAATTTTTCATCAATTGTGCGTTTGTGTATGTGTGTGTGTACTTTCTGAATGTGTCCACTTCTATTGTTCAATTAGAAGACTCGTTTCCCACGTTTCATTTGAAATAGAGAAGTTAGTGGTCAAAGCCTCTTTATTTGTCTATGCAATTCCATTGAAATCCACCGTAGCCGATCATGCTGGCTAGCAATAATCAAGGTAAGAGCAAAGGAATGTGAGTTTTTCATCAGCGGGACCTCAGGTTTCTATCTCCCCTGTGAAATGGAGTTCAAAGTAGGCTTGTCCACAATATCTTTCAATAACTTCTAAATACTCCTTTTTAACAATTGGATCACATTTTACTATGTGAGATATAATTTAAGGGTAAATTTGAATTATCTCTTTTACGCCTTCAAAAAGTGGTTTTCTTTTGTTGAATCTATTCCCCTTGAAGTTCAATTACTTTTATTGCCCTCCCGAATTCAAGTTCTTTTTCTGCATATTTTTACAGAAAATCTCTCTCGCTCTCGAACAATTTTCTGGAGCTTTCATTTTACTTTCTAATTCTGGCTCAACAGGTGTTAAGTATTATATAATTGTGCTATTATAGACAATATGAAATTTCACTGCCCAATTCTGTCCAATTTCATTCGACTCTATAAATTAATTATTATGATCTTGATAAGTTGGCCTATAGTAATTTATGTCACAAATCACTCTCACATGCACTGGTGACTTAGGACTCGCTGTCCAGAATCACGAGTTTATTTTTAAAACTAGTAATAAAGTGGTGGTAGAATAGGGGTTTTTTCAAGGTGCTATTCCTTTATCCAATATGAATGTTGTGAGTACTTTCAACGAGGATTCTACTGTTTTATACTGACTCCTCTTATCGTTGGTAAGCGCTTTGACTTCAAAGTGAAGTAATCTTACTTCCAATTGGCA